TTAGATGTTTAGAAACAAATTAGATTATAATAACACAAATGTAATATAACTATATGTAATAGTAATACAAAAAGCTAATAAAGTATAAGTTATAATTTGATATTATAAAAAAAAATTTTAGATATCAAAAAGCATAAAAGTATAAGTTACTGTTTTGCTTTAGACAATAAGCACTTGTTTTAAAAAAATTTTAAAAAACAAAAACTAAATATGCTAAATAAAAATTTTTTAAATTTTTAAATCTTATATTAACAAAAATTTAAACTATTTTATTTAACTTTTTTTTAATCTATAACTATATTCTAATATTAAATTTTATAACAAAAATATATATTATATGTCTTGTATTAAAAAAGCATATTTTGTAAATGTGATAACTTAGTAAAGTAGATAAGTTATCAATCTTTCAAATAGTAGGTTGTAAGTTTAAAACTCACTAATAGTAACAATTTGAATAATCATCTATATAATATATAAATAGTATTATGGTGATAACATTCTGTTGATTAGTTGGAATAAGATATCTGTAACTATAGTTGTACCAGCATGACTGACAGATTACAAAACATCTATGTAACCTTAGTTATGCAAAAGGATGCAAACTGGTACTGTGTAGTGTAAACCTAAAATAAGTCCTTGTGGCTGTATAAATCTGTAGAACTGAAAAACCAGAGCCCACTTAAAAATACTGAATAAAGAAGTAATACAGATCTTTGACAGTACTACTGTAAAGGCTAGACCTAGGAAACAGATACCAATATAAAGAAATCAGGCAAACAAGAACCTTAAATAAGAGATACCCATCAGATTTTGAACTATAAAAAAAGATATTAGGCTGGCTTCAATATACCAAGAACAGATCATAGTTCTTTCAGACTATTTGGATTAAGAATCTGAAAACAAAAGCAAAAATATATTAAAAATATAAGGAATATGATATGAAGTCAGTGTTAGGATTTGAATAAACTTTGCAAGAGTAATCCTTATTAATATTTTATAAAGTAAATAAGTAATTAACAAGAGGGACCTCCTATGTCTTATTGGCATATGTTGTACTCTAAAATATGTAACAATCTGAGACCTTATATAAAAAGGATAGGTATTATACTATTCAGATGGCATATCAGTTAGGTATATACAAAAGATATAGTGATGTTACATTATAACAAAGTGAATGATTAGAGGATTTAAATAGATAATCTTCTAGTAGATTATAGTTATGACATCTAGTATAAAACCTTAGAATGGACTACTTAAATAGGCAACCAAAAGTTACATGTATGACTAGTTGTACTCTCATCTTTATATAAAATAGTTGTAATAACTAACTTATTAAAAAGTCAATAAAGTTTCACCATAAAGTATGCCCTTTAACACAAAAAAAAACAACCATATTTTGATAATTTTTCAAAAAATTTTTATTTGATTTTTGAATATACATATATTTAACAAAAGATTTGCTATAAGTAACAGAAGCTAATTATATAATAACAATTCACAAAATTAACTTACATATTTTTCTATTTAATGATTATCATTTAAATTCAATTTACTCAAAGTTGTTTATATAAGTATATCAAATGACCCTGTTAATATAAGACATTCTATATGGTGTTAAACATTACTGAATACTTATTTACGAATTCTTGATATATTTTTAAATTTTCTGATTATATTATAACCTTCTTTTTACAGTTGTTACTTTATAAAAAATTTGATTCATTCATAATTCACTTTATAGAAAAGTAATTACGATTATTATTAAGATTAGAAATAAGCTTTTGGTAAAATATAAAATGAACATGTCTGCGAATTGATTATCTGTATTTTTATCAACAATCATTTTGTAGATACTTAATTTCAGACAATTTATTTTACAGATTCTTTACTGCTATATATTCACACAATTATATGTTATCTATTCATGTAATTGTACATATAGAGTGAATACTATATATAATCTATATAATTATCAACAAGCCACATGATTATAGATGATGGTTATATTAGAAATATATCTTATTTAATCAGAATTATTTGAAAAAATTGACACACTCATGTTTATTAAAAAACTGAGGCCAATTTTTTTTCAAGCTTTATTACCGTTCAAATTTTACAATAATAAATGCTAGGAAATAGACAAAATGCATCTTCCAATTAAAAATGCAGCCTTTTTTTTTTTACTTAATAATAGATAATATGCATTTTTCGTAAATTTGCTTGTTATTTGACCATAAAAAAAACTTCCTTTGTGATCTGCGTGATACACTGATAATGATCTAACTAGAATTTTTTTTTTTTGCTGCATTATCGTTATTTGAGTGCTGCAAAGGGAAACCTGCAAATCTTGTCTAAAAGATTTGCATGTTTTTCCTTTGTAGTGATCTCCATTGTAATTTACGTAACACAATCCTACTCAAATTCAATTTTTGGTACCGGGACTTTAGAAAACATTGTTTACATATCGGTTTAATTTAACTATATTTAAAATATTGAAAATTCCAAAAATTTTAGTAATCAATGGCGTTAGAAATTTATTGATTTGTCAGCTCAACGTATTATAAATAATGATTTAAGTGTAAATCGATCGAAGAATTTACTATTTTGGAAAGATTATCTTCTTTTTGTCGAAAGTATAAGAATGCATTCTCATAAACCTCAAATATTCAATAAATTCAATAAATTAAAACTAAATAATAATATAAAGCAATTATAATATCTCGAGACTTTAAGTTCAAAATGACCATCGTGAATAACCACCCTGAGGAAACTCGTGAAGCTCTTTTAAGAAATGATCCTAAACTCTCGACGAAGGAAGTAGTTATCGACGATAAATACGCAGCTATTGCGTCTGAAGCCTCAATTCAGGCTACCAAAGCATGTCTAGAAACCAAAGGTCATGAAGTTACAATTCTTAACACAAAAGAGGAAGCGTTTGAATTTCTAAAGAACTTAATTCCAAAAGGAAGCTCAATCAATAATGGTCATTCTACTACATTGGAAGAAATTGGATTTATCGAGTATTTGAAGAGTGCTACAGAATGGGAAAATGTTCATGCTCAGGTTTTAGCGGAAACAGATATGGGCAAACAGTATGAGTTAAGGCGAACTAAAGGCAACATAGTTGATTATTATTTGTCTTCTGCTTCTGCTATCACTGAAGATGGTGTAATTGTAAGTATTATATCTTTTAATAAAATGTTCCGAAAAAATTTCAAGAATGCTGTCATATGACATAATTAATACTATAAATATAATAGGTCGGATGTGATTTGACAGGAACTCGTATCGGAGCTTGGGGTTCATCAGCCGGAAAACTCGTTATCGTCTCCGGTACAAATAAAATTGTTAAAAACGAAGAAGCAGCTAATGAACGTGTAAATAAATACGCACTTGAATTAGAATCAGCACGTGTTAGATTAGCATATAAAATCCCTGGTAGTAATATTGTAAATTATTTCGCTATCAGACATGCTAATCCTTTTAATCCTAAGCGTGTTCATGTGATATTGATTAAGGAATCCTTGGGATACTAAATGATGGGATTCTATCCAAATTAGGGTCATTTTATATTACTTGTCTTTTAGCATAATATGTTATCTATATTTACAGTATATTTATAACGATAAACTATTAATAAAATTCATATGTAATTAATATTATGAGAGTAAAAGTTTCATTTTTCTTTACCATTGTTTGTTGTAAGCCTGGGTTCTGTTCATATATTATTCTGAAACATGCAGTTTTAGGCGTTCGCTCGTTATGACAAACTAAAATCTCATAAAACATTCTAACTAAACAGGCCCTAACAATATTAATTAGATTATTTTTGTATTATTTAAAACTGACTAATAAAATATTATCGCAATCATCATTGTGCAAAAGAATCTGGAAGAGGTTTTAAATTGAGCATACTTAGTTTAGAAACCAAAAATATACCACCGTTTGCAATGTTAGCCAATGGACCTTAAATGAACTATATGACCCTTATGACCTATCATAGGTCATTTGGTCATAACCAGTGTTGACAGCAATAGACGAATAGAACAATAGAATAAAGTAATAGAAACAGATTAGTCAACTACTAATTATAATTAGTTTTAGTAGCAATAAATGGATAGATAACGCCTGGGGCGTTATTTCGCGACGTACTATGGATATTTTCGTGTAACAATCACGAAAATCTCTAGTAAAAATATTAAATTAATAAAAAGGGCAATACTATTTATACCCCTATTTATCATCCTCTCCCTAGTAGTTGCTAGCTTTAGGAGGATATTTAAATATTGTCTTGTACCACGATTATACTTTTTAGTTTCGCCATTGTTACACGAAATTATTGTGATTGATATTAAATTTTAAAAATTTTTGGGACCTTTTTTGTTAGCTTTTTTTTTTAAAGTTTAGAGGTAGTTTTATTAATAAAAGAGTACAAGTGAATTTTAGTAGGTATTATAGATTTAAATAAAGCTCCGATCTCAGCTTCAGCCGCCACAATATATAATAAACTTATTGATCTTTGTACAGTCAACTCTTCCAAATCTGTATTTGGATAATTCGAACCTTAGCAAACTATGTAAAAACTGAATATAAAGCTTCAGAACATTTATAAATTTTTTTTATAAAGTTCAGATTATCAATATAGTAACTCTCAGAACTAAATTTTTGATGTTTTCTCTAACAAAATTGTATAATATTCTAAGTTTAATAAAATAACAGCAAAACCAGTTAAAAAAAAAAATTTATACTTAATTAACAATTAAATTTTAAGCACTTTATAAGATTCAAATATTTATTTAATATTGATATTAATACACATAAGATTGTGTTTGTTACAATTTTGAGATATAAGACCTTATCTTGCAAAAAATATAAAAGTATCATAGGCCACTGCTTACGGTATTCGGGGTCTTATTCAAGAACTTTATTTTAAAATTGAATACTATTTACAAATCCAACAATCTTATTGGTGAAGAAGGAGTAATACTGCAAGCAGTAGTCTACGGTATTTTTTCCTCATTTGGTCCTTTAGAATACCACATGGTGTCAAATAAATGAACAGCAACCTTTAGTTGATCATCACGTAATTGTTCAACCATATTGATTAATTTTTGACGAAGCATTATTTGATTTGTTGTTTCATTACTGGTTGACTGGACAATGCCTTGGCTGGCTGATTGGACGATGGTTTGGCTGATTAATTGGACAATGTTTTGGTAAATTAACTGCAATTCTCCGTCATTCATTTGTTTTAATAATTGATTAATGTCATGAATTTGTTTGCTATGTCGAGTAGCTTTTCGTGCATCTACTGATGCTTGACTTGCTTTACGTGCTTGAGATTTTCGTTTAGATAGCTTTGGCATTCTACTGTATTATAACTTGTCAATCAAGTAGAGGTCGTCGTTGGGAATCTTGGATTAAACCTCAGGTTTTAATGTGACTTTATTATAGGTAAGTAGTTCGACTTTATTAGTTTGATCCACTTATTGGTTCACAGTCTTATTCTTTGATATTAAATCACTTCTTTATTAACGACTTTCACCATAATCGTATTTAATGCTTCACAAGTTGTGTGATGATATTGAGAAACGAAGTAGAAGTTTAATTAAACACTAATTTAATCCCTTATATATTTCTAAAATATTCAATGTTACATCACCGATTAGTCAAATTAAGCTTTAAATCTATTGTTACGATTATCTAAATACTAAATTAATTTATCATTATTATTACGATTATCTGCATATTGATATTTGAAATTTCAAAGCGATTCAATATATTATCAAGCATCAAATTGCTTTAGAATTTTCATCAATTGTTTATAAAATATTGAAGAATAAATTACGTTTTAGAACTTTCTATCAATCTATAAGTTTTGTAATTAAAATAAAAAGACTATCTCGAAACTATAAGTTAAAACTTATTTAGAGCTATCGCAAAAATTAAACGTAGAGCATTTGAGGTGGTTCTGAAAAACATCTTTCATTCAAAAGAAACTCAAAAGTACCATATTTATGTAAATATTTTAGAATTTTGCTCTTTTTTTTTATAAATAAATAAATATAAAAATAATATTCAATTGATTATTTTAAATTCACTAATAAAAATTTGATCATAGTAAATCGGCCAATGTATCTAACATAGTTTTGATCATTTAGCATCAGTTGACGTCCCACCCGAATAACCTATGATCTTATTTGTTAAAAAAAAACATTTACAACAGAAAAAATTGTCAATGACAAAATCGATGAAGTATCCTAATTCAGTAACTTATTTTTTGACTCGGTAACTTATTGATTTGGTCATCAGCAATTTTTTAAGTTGCCTAGGACATATAATAATAGCTAATAGACTGATTTATGAACCATGTGGTCCTTTGCACTAGCGATACAGTAGAATTGTCCCATTGATTGCCGTAATATCATTGGGACGATTCTACTGCATCACTACTTTGCACATACCTGGTCTTTAGAACAGCAGAGACCGTTGATGTTATACAACTAATCCGACACCTGATGTGCAACACATAAATAATTATTTTACTATTTCGCTAGTACGTGTTATGATTATAATCCAATACCTGTTTTTTATAATAAAACAGGCGTTGGATTATAACACGTACTAGCAAAATAGTAAAATAATTATTTGCACGTCCACTAATTTCAATCACCGTCCGATTATACGTATTCCCAGAGTAAGGCTTGACTGCCATAAATTCAAAAGTTGCTTTTGATATTAACTAAACAAATATTTATATAAAAAATAAAAACTTACTTTACTTTAAGCCAAGCAACAATATGTCGTTTCTTTAACCGTGCTATTGTTCAACACATTCTTCCTTAAAAGATACTTAATTCTACCTCTTTCGAATGAAGATGACTCAGATAGCTGAATTCTTCTTTCTTCCATATCATTTATTCGTAAACTCATCACATTTGATTGAACAGTCACGACTAAAATCATAAAGACAAATATTCGGGTGATTTTATTTTTATTACATTATATTGATCTTTGAATTTATCTAACATAATTCGTAATGTTGGGCTAATATTTTGGCAGTTTAAATTAATAACTAAAAATGATGCCGGAAATATCGTTCTCATTCATTTTCTTAATTCAGTTTTATAAAAATATATCAAAATTTGTATAACCTGCACTTTATTAAAAAAATTGATTCTCTTTTACAGTAAGTATTATTAGAAGTCGATAGGTTATTTAAACTTTTAATTTGCGCACTTTACTCATGTTAGATGAAAAAAAATTAATTTATAAAATCTCAAACAAAATAAAGAATAACCAATACGATCAAATCGTTTATATATTCAACTTTAACTTCGTAGTGATAAGACTTTAAATACAATCAGTGGTGATTGAAATAAGTGGCTTAGCCTGTCAGATTACGGACGTGATAATTATTTTATGTGTAGGATTAGTTGTATAACATCAACGGTCTCTGCTGTTGGTCTTTAGGACCAAGACCGGGCCGAACCGGACCGTAAAATCCTAACTCCGTGGATTAGTAATTGTTTTTACTGTTACAACTGTTATATCATAAATTCTGGGACACCTGGCAAAAATTAGCCGAATGATTTTTCTGCCGATCCGGTTAAGTAATTACAGCTGTTTTCATAAATTCTGGCAAATCTGGCAAAATTTACAGACCGAATATTTGCCGATTCGATAAGTTTTGATTCGGCAGTGATAAACTTATCGAATCGGCAAATATTCGGTACCGTACAGTGCTGCATACAGTATCCGGTGTGACACGATTTTTTACATAGTAAAAAAATAAAAATCACATATGTTTGATGTCGCATAATTGTATAAATAATATTTTAGATTGCTCTACATTATTTGTCACGCATGGTACTGTATGCAGCGCTGTACGGTAGGTCAATTTTTGCCAGATTTGCAAGAATTTATGAAAACAGCTGTAATTCGGTATAATGATAATACGTGTAAAATTGCCACCCAAAAAAGTTTCGATCATATGACTAATATATCGAGAATTAAAAATTTATGTAACTTAACAAAAAAATACGATCAAAATTCAGACTAACAAAATAATATCGATAAACAATAAATTTATCACAATAAACGTACAACTAGCAAGTATTATGATTAATGGTATTTGGAATATTCCATTACCTTTTAAACTGAGCATAATCCTCCAATTTATGCAACGGCACAAAATAGTTATTTATACTAACAAGCCATTTGTTACTATTTGGGTTCATTATGTTTTTTTTAACAATTTTTTTGCTGCTGTGTCTTGGATTCAGAATTATAAAAACCTTATACTCAAATAAAATAATCAGTGTTATAATCTTCCGGAAGAGCATTAAAAATAAAATCTACAAGGTTTTCTGATGCAATTGCATTTTCTTGATTAGTTTTTATAATTTTACTTCGATTTTGGTTACGGTAATCAACGTATCTTTTTAGAATAATGTGTTTATTGGATTTTATGCTTTTAACAATCGGTTTTCACTTTAAAGTATCAAAGAAAAAAAATTACTTACTAACATTAAGTCATACAAACTTAATAAATTGGTTCTCATGACAAAATTTTTAAAAGTGACCTGGCAACCCGGTTTTTAATTTTATTTTCAAAACATTATATATATAAAAACATAAAAAAACTCATCCAGATAGTAAGTATACTTGAAAATTTTTTTTATAGCTGTTTTCATAAATTCTGAAAAATCAGGCAAAATTGATCAGTCAAATATTTGCTAATTTGGTAAGTATTGATAAGTTTTTTTTTTTTTTTTGCTTTCACTAAGGCCTTTTAGTTATGGTGGCTACTGCCTTTATTGTGAATTCAATTATGATTACATAACTTGTACAAGGTTACCTCTATACTATACTAGCAGATAGCAGTACAAGCTCCCATACACCTAATTAGATGCCGTCTAACCTAACCTTAACCTTCTTGTCTGTAAGTCTGTCAAGCTATTATATATTTCAGAATACATCACCTGATTATAGGGCTCCAGAGGGCCCCTTTGCTAACTAACTACCTATATTTAATTTTTGCTAACAGGGCTCACCCTTGCAGAGTTTACCCAGACCTCAGCACTGACTTTATAGCATATCCCTAGTACTTTAGTATACCCCTGTTTCTGACCTTAGACTTCCAATCCAGATAGCCCAGTAGGACTGTAACCTGTCTCTGGTACCTCAGGATCTGCCTCCCAAGGTCTTTTTCCTCAGATTCGAGACTTTCGGTGGCCTGGTTGATGGTACCTCTCACTCGAGGTTCTTGCCTGCCTGATTTCTTCTGCATTGGTATGTTTCTTAAGTCTAGCCTTTACAGTAGTACTGTCGAAGATCTGTATTACCTCTCTACTCAGATCTTCCCAAGTGGGCTTCGGTTATCATAGTTCATGAATTTACATAGCCACAGATGCCCCCATGACTTGCCAGTTATCTGGTGTGACTGTGTTACAGGTACTGATCCCAACTGATCAATAGATAGCTGTTGCCATATTATCAGTTTTAAGGACTTATCTTGTGTTTGCACTGCCCAATGCCAGTTTGCATTCCTCTGTATAACTCTAGCATTGCACAGAT